TCCCATCACATTGCATCCCACTACGTTAGGTCACTGGAAGGTCATTGCATCCCATCACATCCCACTACGTGAGGTCACTGGAAGGTCGTTCCTTCCCATCCCATCGCACTATATTTCATTGATTGTGGCATAATAGCAACTAGACGAGAGTGTGGCTAAACCATGGGAAACTGTAGCTTTGCCAAGTTGGTACATGAAATGAACTGCCACCTCTCATAGGGCACCTGACCTCATGTGCGTGCATTAGCAGAGGGGGCTTTGGGGTTCCGTGTGCACTGACCTCATATCCATGTTGGTGTTTTGCTAGCTCCTCCTTGGACCAAGATGACCGATGGAAATCTTTCCACCTCCACCAATGGCATAGCCTTGATGGGCGTTTTGGACGGACGGCCAGGAAGCCACCTTCCGAACTTCCCGAGCCTGAACCTCAAGGCTCCCAGGTCCCTCTTGCTGTCTGAGCATGGGTCCAAGCTGCTGCTCGGAGCCGCAGAAGACCGGCACAGTCTGCAGTCCGTGGATTCCGGCATCCCGACTCTCGAGATCGGCAACCCGGAGCCTGTGCCCTGCAGCGTAGCCCACCCGAGGAGGAAGACGTCTGAGCCGGAGGCCGTCCCTGAGCGGGCTTCGCACAGTGCCTGTCCCCTGCCATCCTGTGTGCCCCCGGGCCCCACCTGTGCCGAGCGGGAGCAAGGTGTGCGCAAGTCCTCCACGTTCCCCAGGACTGGATATGACGCAGTAAGGTTCTGCAGCCCCACCACTGGGACGCTGAGCCGTAGTGACGCTGGCTCCGTCTGCAGCGTGTCCAGCCTTGGCACAGACCTCTCCACTACACTGTCCATCAGCAATGAGGACCTGCTGGACCTGGTCACCAGCAGCTCCAGTGCCATCGTGGCCCTGGAGAATGACGATGATGTGCCCTTCACTGATGTCACCCTGAGCTCTGCCAAGGAGGCCGGTGGTCCTGCCCGGCCAGAGAACCCCCAGGAGCCCCAGGAGGGCAGCCGGTCGGGACTTCTGGGGCCACTCGGCCACTTCTTGTCCAGGTAGTGTCCTGTGTCTGTGGGGAGAAGTGGGGGTGGGCAGGAGGCCAGCCAGGGGCACTGTCCTGTGCAGGACACCTGTCTTGTGTGTCCCTGACTTGCTGGCCAGGCTCTGTTGGCCTCACGTGACACTGCTGTTCAGTCCCTCGTGGCCCCTCAGGTGACGCTGCCGTTGGCTCCCTCACGGCCCTGGTTGGCTGGGCTCTGTGTTGCCCAGATAGCTGAGCATTGGGACACTTGCCAGGGCTCAGTCCCACGTGGTTCTGTGTAGGACTAGACGTTCGGAGGCAGTTCTGTCTCTCAGACATGCAAGTGACTTGTCCACAGTGACTTTCGTGGGCACTGGTCATGGTGACTGCTCAGAGCAAATTTGTGAGGTCCCCTGGCTGCCCGCCACCACGTGTGTCCAGCGCAGTGGATGCTTGGTGACACTAGCTGTGAGGCTGGTCTCAGTGCTTGGGGACCATGACTAGCCTGCTGACCAGTGACCTGCTCACTCCCTCACCATTCCATGTGGCTCGGGGATGTGACCATCTTCTTAGAGGCAGTTGCTTGGAGGAGGAGTGGAGTCCAGGGCTTGGGGGGCCCCATTGGTCAGAGTACCTGCCAGATCTGTGGTCTTGAGTGGAGGCCACACAGGACTGTACTGTTGATGGGCCCCCTTTACAGGCCAAAGCACTTGGTGTGCTCACGGGACCCAGACCACAACCGCAGAGCTGGACTCTTGGGAGGGGCTGGGAGACAGCTTTTCCGAATCCCTGGGCTCTCGGCACACGTGGGGCCTTGTTCAGGGTGAGGTGCTGGAGTGACGTGTAGAGGTGAGTGCAGCTCCTCCTGGACATGGGCTTGTGGGGGGGCTGCCTCTCTCAGTCAGCCTGCTGCGTGCCTGCCGGGCTGTGATGGACGGTCCAGAGGTGGGGTGGGGACCCAGGTGTGCCATGTTGTCTCACGGGGCCCTCAGCTGCCCGGGTCTGAGTCTCTCTGTTTCTATGGGAACGCTGAGTGGAGCTGCTGCTGGTAGGGCCGCGTCCTCCTCAGTGCACGGAGATCAGAGATCGGCCCCTCTGCTCAACTCCCTGGTTCTCACCGCCGCACTCTCGTCTCGATGGGGCCGACGTTGGTGAGGGAATGTGGGTGAACTCCTTTAGGAAGCAGATGGGACGCCAAGTGAGTGAGGACATGGGCCGTGGCTTGTGGAGTTTTTGTCTGGATTTCCTTAGAGGGGCTGAGGAGCCTGTTGCAGAAAAGGAGACGTTTTACGGGGGCGCTTGGAAGTGAGGGTTATTAGTAGACTCCGCTCTCAGTGCTGGAGGTCCAGGTTCCCGTCCTTCATGAGCAGACGGTTTGTGTGCTACTGTGACGGCAAACAGGTGTCAGCAGAACTTCCAGTCTGACGGGTTAGGAAGAAAGACGTAACACAGCCAATGACTGTGTAGTGCCTGGGATGTGGAGGCTGGCAAGCAGCCAGCTGGAGCAACCGAAGACAAGGAGTCAAGTATCGGAGGAGATGCGGGTTGCGGTTAACTGCCTCCATCAACAACTGCCCCCTTTGCTCTGAGCCCGGAAGAACTGAGTGCCTACCACTCATGGACATTTTGACCAAAGATTCCGTAAAAGATCAGAATGGAGAAAATGAGAAACAGAATTTTGAATTCTCATGGACTCTAGACTTCCTGTAACCATGGAGGGCGGTTGAACCCATGAAACTTCTGCCCTGGGGTCATCTTTAAAGCTTAAAGCAAAAGTATCCTGGAACTCTTCGTAAAAGCAGATGCTAGTTCAGCTTCAGGAGTGAAACACAGTCTGTCTTGAGCATTATGCTCGGGGCGGGGGGTGGCGGCGGTAGTGGTGATGCTGGTGGTGGTGGTGATGCGCCGTCCTGCCGACTCTGACTCATAGCATCCTTGTAGTGGCTTTCCGAGGTTGTAGATCTCCATGGGAGCACAAAGCCTTTTTCTCCCACAGAGTGGTTGGTGGATTTGAACTGCTGACCTTGCAGTTAGCAGCCTGGCTTTTAACCCACTCTGCTACCAGACTGATTATTATGCGTTTTAAGAACTCTATTGGATCAAATTGACAACAGCAACTTGAATGAGTCGGAACATATTCTATTTGGATGTAATTTCAAATTTAGAGACGTCCCTTTACAGTTCTCTCCCCCTCTCCTTTGTCCCTCTTTTCTCCTTCCCCTCTTACTCCCTCGATCCCTTCTTCCTTGTCTCTCTGCACACGTATGTTTACAGAGGACGTTTTAGACTGTAGCGATTGCACTCTGTACCTCAGTTACTTCAGTGTTGTGTGTTACAGACAGGGACATGTGCTCACCTGGTCACTTAGCAAGTGAAGACCTGATGCTGACATGACACACTTAGTTCACGGCCCCAAGATGACTCCCATCAGGACCCAGTTACACCCGATCTTTCTGTACCGTCTGTTCCCTGGGTCCTGCCCTGTGTTACCTGAAGTGCAGGCCGGGGCCTCTGTTCTGTGGACCACCCTCCATTGGGACCATTCATCTCCTCAGTGATGCAGCCCGGGGCAGGGAGGGGATTGAGGGGTGCAGTGCCCTCCTCAGAGCCTTGGGCCAGGTATCCATGGGGCTGATTTATCCCCAACTTGGGGACCTTGGATGACTTGGGTAAGGTGTGTCAGCCCCTCCCTCTGTAGAGTGACTCTTTTCCCTTGTAATGAAGAAGGAAGGTGATTGCAGAGCACAAAAGGTTTGCCTAAAGCACCCGTGGTGGATTAGGAAGAAGGATTAGCAACCTCCTTCCCTGAAGGTCAGGGCCAAGGGCAGCCTGCTGGACAGTTCTGACCATCCTGTGGGCTCTCTATTACTCTTTGGGACAGTCCCCTTGGTCATGTGGGGTCTCCATGAATCCAATGTTGCTTTTCTCCTCAGGAAGTTCTGTTTGGAAACACCTGTGGAGACTAAGCCTCCTGCTGTTCATCAGCTGTTGCCCACTCGGGCGGGCCACCCCTCGCCCACCCCCACAATCCCTGTGTGAGCCGGAACCTTCCCTTCTTGGTTCTGTGTGGACTCAGAAATGTTTGTTCATAACCTCTTGTGACCATTCATTGTTGTTGTTGTTGTTGTTTTAATGAATATATATGTAACAAACTATACACAGCTTTAACAGTGTTTCCCTGTCCGGTGTAGTGACATTAATGACCATCTCCAAATTGTGTACCCTCTTTCTGTCCTCTTCCAAATGGATCCACCACCCTCGAGAGGCCCTCAGCTTCTCACCTAAGCTGGCGAGTGACCCCTGCCAGTTTGACCCCTCGCAGCTCACACTTTAAAAGAGCGCATGCTCAAGACAGACGTTTTTTCCTAGTCAAATTAGACCCCTGTGTAAAGAGGAGTCCATAAGCACTGGACTGCTCATCACAAGATCAGTAGTTCAAACCCAGCAGTTGCTCCTTGGAAACCCTCTGCAGTGTTGCTATGAGTCGGAACCAGCTCAGTGGCCCTTACCAACAATCACAGCATTGTTGAAAGGTGACTTCAGGGACCAGCTTCAGTTTAAGGTTAAAAAGATGTATTTCAGCCAGTAGGTTCTGGAAGTCATTCAGCCTCTGGCTCCAGAGTAAGAATTCTGTGAGAATTTTGTATTCTGTTCTGCATACACCCTCTTGTGACCAAGTTTCTTCTATAGGATCTTTGACAACAGTGTTTTTTGGTGATGCCTGATCACCGTTCAGTTCTGGTCTCATGACTAAGGGGACAGTTATGACAAAGGGGACGTGGTTCATGAGGCAATTGGATGCGGGTTCCAGTTCCTCCTCAGTTACCCGATTCTCTTTCTTCCTCTGTCACTCCAGGCAAACACTGACGCGTTGTTGTCCCTTGGTTGGCCACTTGTAAGCGTGTAGGGCCCCAGGCACTAGGCTGATGTTTCGGACAAAGCAGCTCTGTGAGGGGCAGCTCCGTGAGGGGCTGGGTTGTACGGGCACAGCCTCAGTCGCTGCTCTTTGTTGTTGTTGTCAGTGTGTCTGTCCTCTGGGGAACCCTCCTGCCTATACAGGGTATACACGGTATGCCATACATACACTGTGTCCTTGTGGAAACTTTGAGTTTTTGATAGATCTTTGGCCAGTTGGCCTTTGCCTGCCCTTGGTGAGGTTGGGGTCCACTTGGGAACCCTAGACTCCAGCCTGTTGTTGGTGAGTGGATGCTGACTCGTGGTCCCCTATGTTCAGAGTAGAGCTGTGACCACAGGATCCTCAACGGCTCTAATCTGAGGGGAGCGCATCGCCAGGCGTTTCTTCCATGCTGCTGCAAGGTAGACTTGAACCACCAACCCACTGCTGTCGAGTCAGTTCTGACTCATAACAACCCTGTCCAGGCTTTATGGGAACAGACAGCCTCCTCTTTCTCTCATGGAACGATTGATGTGTTTGAACTGCTGATTGTATGGTTAGCAGTCCAGTGCTTACCCTTCTGAAAATGGTGGGGAGTAAGGTTGAGATGTCAGAAGACTTTGTGGGATCCGAGGGGCATGTGGGTTTTGAGAGGCTCACAGCCAAGCCTGTTCATCAGTTAACTTCCCTTTTCCAGGGTGGAGGGAAGAACCCGTTTGCTTAGAAAACCTGAGTGGACTCTTGTCAGGTGCCATCGAGTTGATACCAGCTCATAGCGGTCCTGGGCACAACAGAACAAAACACTGCCCGGTCCTGGACCAACTTCACAGTCACTGCTGTATTTAAGTCCATCTCTGTTGCCGCTTTGTCTGTCCGTGTTGTTGAGGGTCTTCCTCTTTATCTCTGACCCTCCATTTTACCAGACATGATACCCTTCTCCAGGGACTGGTCCCTCCTGGCCATATGTCCGAAGTATGAGAGATGAAAGCTGGACAGTGAATAAGGAAGACCATAGAAGAATTGATGCCTTTGAGTTATGGTGTTGGAGGAGAATATTGAAAGTGCCATGGGCTGTCAAAAGAACCAATAGATCCATTTTGGAAGAAGTGCAGCCAGTGTTCCTTAGAGGCCAGGACGGC